CCCAAACGATAATACCATTCTTGCATCATTTTCTTACGCGATCGCAGCAACGCGACTAGCTTACTGGCAATATTTTGTTAATCAGGTTCGCATGCACTCTTTACATCTAGAAAATTAAAGTGAGATATACGATTGGAGAAAATCGCGAGATAATAGAGTACTTTGTATTGATCTCGGAGATCCAGGTAAGGAACGCTATCGGATAACAGAAAACAGAGAAATGCAAAATAAGAAGAGAAAAGTATGACGATAAAGCGAGCGTAAACGGTCGATAATCTCTGTAATCGATCAGATAAAGCAACAATCCTCGCGCACCTCTGAAGCGAAGTACACAGACATGGAAATGGCGTTCTTAATCGGAAGGTGGCAGACAAATTACGATAATCCGTAGCGGGAGGAGGCACGAGCGTGCAGCACGCATGTGGTGGTACGCGATAATGGCAGCGGCGCGTTAGTACGCATCCCGGTCCCCGGTCTCACGACGTGGTAAGTGACGCACCGTGCACGTGCCATTCACCCTGGACACGTGCACCGCGTGAATGGGTAGCGAAGACTCTGTTGCCTCGACGCTCCTGCCTGTGCATCGAGAAAAGAGAGAACGGACAAGACGGAGAGGGAGAGCGCGCGAAGCAACAGGCTGGCATATCGGCAGCCAGAAAGAACACGGAAAAACGGCGAGAAGCAGGCGAAGTTGGCGGCACCGTGGACTGAGCAACCGTCGAAAAATATATCGAACGAGAATTCGCGACAAGAAACAAAATACTACCGCTGTTGATGCTGCTGAGAGAGAGAGAGAGAGAGAGAGAGAGAGAGAGAGAGAGAGAGAGAGAGAGAGAGAGAGAGAGAGAGAGAGAGAGAGAGAGAGAGAGAGAGAGAGAGAGAGAGAGAGAGAGAGAGAGAGAGAGAGAGAGAGAGAGAGAGAGAGAGAGAGAGAGAGAGAGAGAGAGAGAGAGAGAGAGAGAGAGAGAGAGAGAGAGAGAGAGAGAGAGAGAGAGAGAGAGAGAGAGAGAGAGAGAGAGAGAGAGAGAGAGAGAGAGAGAGAGAGAGAGAGAGAGAGAGAGAGAGAGAGAGAGAGAGAGAGAGAGAGAGAGAGAGAGAGCGAGCGAGAGAGAGAGAGAGAGCGAAAGAGAGAGAGAGAGAGAGCAAATGCGGGATGGAGCAGAAAGGGAAAGGGAGGGGGAAAAGTTCGAAAAGAAATTTTTAGAGGAAAGATGACGAACAGGGAGATAGAAATGAACTTCTTGAGAATTAGGGGTGTAGATGTGTTGTATTTCGTTGTAAGAAAGCAACGTTTGGTTCGATCCAATGTTAATTACGGGTTATATACTATGGAATTTTATCGATGTAACATTTGATAAAATATCAACACGTTCTAAGGCGAATAAAAAAATTGTTCGATATGGCGTTGAAACGGAGAAAATCATTTATTTTCCTCTAATTAAATCTTTCAGCGTAACGTTTTCAATGACGCGCGTGTAAGATACCAAAGATACGGCCAAAATGATCTTTTTTCTTGGCCTAGAACGTGTTAATCGTTTATAAAGAAAAGATTGTAATATGCACAACGAGGAATAAAAGTGTACCTCGTGTACATCCTTTAAAATTTGACCAAACGACTTTCTCCGAGTTTCTCCGAGAAACTGACAAAGGATTGGTTTACTAGATAACGCGTTAAAAATGTTTTGAAAAAATTGCCTTTTACAACATTTTTATCTGGGCTTGTAGCGAAAATTTCAGCAGCACGTTTTCAAGATTTGCGTTAGTTGTGCGATATATACACTGAAAATTTTAGCGAACTCGGTCGATGCGGAAACAGGCGTCAGGCATTTTTTAACCGTTTGTAACTCGTTGCAACGTTAACCGATTTCCATCAAATTTTCAGCGTAATTGTATAACCGACGTATAAATGTTCGATAATCGTGTTGCTTAGATTCTTATTATAGGCTTGGATAAAAAGAGGTGTAAAAAGTAAACTCCAAATTGCAATTTTTCCAAAAAAAAAAAAAATTGTAACTTGTCAGGGAGTATAGACACTCGTCGTTCGATCCAAGCTTTAAAAAGTTATTCTGCTTTAAAAGGTGTACGAATACCTTTGTCCCTCGCTGTATATGCAACACCTAATTATGCGTTAATGGTATAAATTACTCGATGCAAATCTGCAACACGCGTAACCTTCGATGTAACAAACAAGTACGAGAAGTTAATTCGGTTTCTAAGTTGTTTAACTCGGATCGACTCTCATTCTCCGTAAAACGAACTATTCTAAGGACAATTATAATTAGATTTTAAGAAGTTTTTCAGTATAAAATCAGTCACAGTTGCAACGGTAACTCGGTTATTCTTAAAGTTATTACAAAGCACTTTCGTACCAGGTGTTCGGTGATCGTGTTCGCTACATCGGCGAATAATCCCAAATTCGTTTCATTCCAACATTATGCATTCCCATTATTATTTAGTTCTCTTGCTTTTCCTTTTTATCCAATTTTGAGATTGTAACTCAATGTGCCGCGATAATAAAAAAAGCTGACTCAAAGTTCTCCTACCACCCTTACAAAAATTAGAAAGCATATCTTCGCATACGTCGACGTTAATGTTAATCGTATGTCGACGTAAACTATATTAGATCTACTTTTTTATAGTAATTAAAAGTACAGTAACTAAACTTAACACAGATATACACAAAATATACACAAGATATACACAAGGACGGTTATGCACATTATCCCAAATTATACGAACTTAACACTTTAACCAACATCCGTCGGCCGTCGCTTATGCCAATTTGACACGCGTTGCGATAAACGAGATAAAAGTAAAAGGAAAAAGTAAAGCAACAAAGAGATATTTGTCTCGTGTTCGTAATTTATATGTTCGTTACAAGGGACGGACGAGGGTTAAAACTTAAATTAAACATATAATGTGTACGAATTAAGCTTATCTTAGCTAATTTATTTTTATCTATCGCACGAACGAAATTAACCGACATACATCGAACGTATTACAAATAAAATAGAAATAGTTGCATCAATCTTACCCGTTTCGATGCTTCTTATTGTCGTGGCTGGGTTCAACGTCGACGACGAGATTGCCCGCGGTCTGCTGCGAGTGATTCGTATTATGATTTTCCACGTAAGGATTATGCGGGCTGTTGTGATTGTTGTGATGGTGATGATGGTGATGGTGATGCTGCTGTTGCTGTTGCGGCTGCTGTTGCTGCTGCGGCTGTTGCTGCGGTTGCTGCTGCGGCTGCTGTTGCTGTTGCTGGTGGTGTTGCTGTTGGTGCTGCTGTTGGTGTTGTTGCTGGTGCTGCTGTTGCTGGTGGTGCTGCTGCTGCTGCTGATGATGATGGAGATGGTGGTGCGACGTAGAGTGTACGGCGGCCAGATGCGCCGCGTTTGCGTTCGCCGAGGGTGGCGTTACTCGCGCGCTTGAGATCACGGGACTCCCTCGGGAACCTGTCGAGTGATTCCCGTTCGTTCTATTATTTTCTAGCGGCTCCTCCTCTGAAAAATAAATCAAATCAATCTTTTCTGAAGATCGACCATTATAAAACTTTCTACTTCGTTATGCTCTTTCTTCCGTCCAAAAGAGATCTTCGATACGGTTTAATCAAAATCTCGTAGTTATTTATATCACGATATAATTTATTTGTCGGGTTTACATTAGAATCGGGGTTAGGGGCGTGAAACGAATCTTCGTTTGGATTACACGTGTCGTTATGCAATAGAGAAGACATCGACTAGTGCAAATACGATTATCATAGAACCGGACAAGTAACCGTGGTAATTAGATACTCGAGAAACTAACGACAATGACCTTAGGTTCGATAACGAATCCGCGGTCGACGGGATGAACGTGCTCGCAAAATCTAAGTCGGACGCGTAATAATCACGGGTCGTAAGGTGTTACTCTTTTCGCCGATGAGATCGCAAGAAGGAATGAATTTCTGTCCCGATGATGCCACACAGGAAAACTATATACGTTGCTGCTAATTGGTCGATCTCCATATCGGTGGTTAGAAAAAGATGCTAGCCGCCCTCGAGGGAAAGTTGCTAGCGGGTGACGCCGCTCGTTGAAAAACAGGTCTCCTCTATTTTCCCGTAGTTGAGACAAAGACTGTTTGTCCGTTTGAAGGACTTTAGTTGGCTAAATCTTATGATTTATAACGGGCCCTCGGGCTAGCCGAACATGTACCGCGGAGACGCATCGACATCTGACAATCGTCTTACTCGAAGAATAGGGTCTGCAAGTGGCAAGCTACGGGACAGAGACCGTTGGAATGTTTACCGTCGAGTGTTACAACTATTTCCTTTTTAAGAAGAGCTATGGAATTACTGCATGCCTTTGTTAGACAAAGCGTTCATCCCGTGACCGCGGCTACGTTCGGCGACAGACTGTCGCCTCGAGCCAAAGCTCACTATCGCTAATCTCGAACAATTACAATCGGATCGAATAACTACAATTGTTTAATTACAGCTATCGTAGACTCTAGATTACAATGTTGCGGCGTACACTCTAGATTACAATGTTGCGGGATTATCCAAAATTGCAGAGGCTCCGGTGTTCTTTCGTCTCCGACATACTTATTACTTTTATCATCGCGTCTATTCGATAAACGCTGGTTAACGATTCTTAAAACTTCGGAAACTCGCAAGTAATTGTTCTTTTCATATCCTACGAGTGGCGATGATAGATAAGTCATTTTGAAACGATATTCTAAATCTACAGCACCGGAGGAACGTGAGATTTCTCAGAGAAATATGGTACAGGTGAACGTATTCGAGCGGCTCGCCGACAAGACACTCTCGGGTAAATAGTTTTTCAGGAAAGGAACTATACGAAAGGAGGATTTTACAGGGGTAATTTCCAAGCGGTTGCCGGATCTCGAAACTTTCATTCTGGATAGCATTCACGGAGGCACAGCAATTCCTCGCGTTCTACGGTGCAGACGACGCTCCCCTTGCTCATTCTATTCTATACTCGAACCTGAATGACTATGTTCTCGCCTAAGATTAGCGAATGCTTCTCTGGAGTGGCGATGGCTTCGATACGTACAGATACCCGTACCAGGATCGACTCTTTCGACTTGCACCAACGAGTCATCAATCGCTACGTCTCCCATGCTCGTTTTCGATCTTCGGATGCGACTCGACTTTTCCTCTTCGTAAAATTATTCATACGCATATCCGTTCGATCACCTATGGGTCGCAACGTTGCGCGCAAAGTCCGTTAAGTAAAATGAAAATGTTTAAAAAAATTGAGCAAACGATGCTGCAAGAAGAGTTTTGCTAAGAAAGCGAAACAAGAAATTGCGCGTACGAAAAAACGCGTCTGGACCGGTAAAAGGATGGAAAGGACAAAGGCGGGGTTAAAAGGTAGAGCTAAGAGGTAGAGCCGTCTAAAGTCGCAGTTCACGAACGACCAAAACGTTTCGCTACGACGATCCTGTAGGATCTGCAATTTTCGTGCTCGGAGGGCCGCC